GGCGGCCGCTCGAGCGACCCCCGCGCCCCCTCGGACCGCGACGACCGCGCGGACGCCAACGGCGCCGCGTCGTCCGGCGGGCGCCGCCGCCGCGGTTGTTTGGGGGCGCCGCCCGCCCGCTCGGCGGCGTCGTCGCGGCGGTGCCGCTCGCGCGCCATGGGCCCGTCCGTCGCGACGAAGGACCCCCGCAGGTGGGACGGCAGCTGCGCCCGGGGCACGATCTTCGCCTCCTGCTTGCGCGCGACGGCCGTGGCCTTGGCGTGCGTCGCGTCGATCTCGCGGCCCTCGGCCTTGAGCTTGTGTACCGCCACGCGGCCGTCCGTGCTGACGACGTAGGCGTCGCCGTCGCTGCGCTCCGCGGCCGTGACGGCCTCGTCGTCGAGGTGGCGCAGGCGCGGCAGCAGGCCGCACAACAAAGCGCGGTAGCGGTCGATCACCGACGCCTCGCAGCACGCGTTCGGCCGCAGCCGCAGCACCTTGAGCGACGGCCCGAGCGGCCCGAGGCGCAGGAGCTCGCTGGGCTTCGCCAGCTCGTTGTGCGAGAGCCAGAGCTCCTCGAGCTTGGCGAGGCCGCCCAGCGGCGCGAGCGCCGGCGCGTCGCCGCGCCGGCTGTCCGGCTCGCGGCGCGACGCGCCCTGCGCCTTGCCGATGGCGTTCGCGTGGGCCAGGAGGCAGCGCACGTTGGCGCAGGTCTCGACGCCGGCGAGGGAGCCCAACGCGTTGTGGGACACGTCCAGGACCTGGAGGTTCGGCAGCGCGCCGAGGTCGCCGAGGCCGCCCAGCTTGTTAAAGGCGAGGTTCAGGTGGCAGAGCGTCTCCGCGTGGCGCCAGGTCACGAGGGCGCCGGGCACGCTCGACGTGAGGTAGCCGGGCACGGCACCGAGCTCCCGGCCCTGGAGGAGCAGGATGCCCGGCGCGTCGCAGTCCGGGTCGTCGGCGTTCTTCATGGGGTCACGGCCATAGCTTCCACCGTAAAAAGGCAACGAAATTTGTGTGCACTTCCGGGGCTCCCCAACGATGAGGAGTTCAGCTGCCTCCCAGTCGGAGCGCAGCGGCATCCGCGTCGTCGTGCGGCTGCGGCCGTCGAGCGGCCCGTCGACGATCCGCGTCGACCAGGAGGCGAGCACGCTGACGATCCCCAACTCCCGCGGCACGTCGGCGGAGAAGGCGTCCGTCGTGGACCACACGGCCGAGGGCCTGCGCTTCGGCGTGGACCACATCTACGAGGCCGGCGCGAGCCAGGAGAGCCTCTTCGAGGCCGAGGCGGCGCCCCTCGTCGCCGGCTGCCTCGAGGGCGTCACGGGGACGCTCCTCGCCTACGGCCAGACGGGCGCGGGCAAGACGTACACGGTCCTGGGCCGCGGCGGCACGACGGCGACGGCGTCCTACGACGAGCGGGGGTTGGTGCCGCGCACGCTCCAGCGGCTCTTCGACCTCGCGGCGAAGAAGCGGCGCGCCGGCTGCTCCGTGGAGATCCGCGTCTCCTGCATCGAGGTCTACAACGAGCAGCTCATCGATCTGTTAAAAGCGCAGCAGCCGGCGGACCGGGCCGGCGAGCTCGTGGTCTGGGAGGACCCCAAGGACGGCGGCGTCCACGTGAAGCACCTCGAGGTCGCGCCCGCGGCGTCGGCGGAGGAGGCGCTCCAGCTCCTGTACGACGCGGAGATCAACCGCGCCGTCGGCTCGCACGCGACAGGGCAGGACAAGGGTGATTCAACGTCGCTTCAACGTGAGTGTTCCGCGCGCGCGCGTTCTGGAAAAAGCATCCACGCTTCGAGACCTTTCCGAGAGATGATCGCTCGTCCAAAAATTAGCCGAAACGAGTGGAAAATGGCCGAGAGAGGAGCCTTTGAAGTTGGGAATTTCGCACTCTTGTCCTGCCCAGGCACGCGATGAACGTCGCGTCGTCGCGGTCCCACCTCGTCGTCACGGCCCACGTGACCTGCCGCGAGGCGTCGCGGCGGCCCGCCTACGACGACGACGACGCGGCGCCCGAGGAGCGCTTCGCGAAGCTGCACTTGGTGGACCTCGCGGGCAGCGAGCGCATCAAGCTCACGGCGTCGCGCGGCGCGACGGCGACCGTGCGCGAGGCGTCCTACATCAACAAGTCCCTCACGTTCCTCGAGCAGGTCGTCATCGCCCTGGGGGACGCCGGCCGCGACCACGTGCCCTACCGGTCCTCGAAGCTCACGCACGTGTTGAAGGATTCGCTCGGCGGCGCGTGCCGCACGTCCCTCGTCGCGTGCCTCTGGCCCGACGCGGCCCAGCTCGACCAGACCCAGGCGACGCTGCGCTTCGCCGCGCGCATGGGCCGCATCGCCTGCGCGCCCGTCGCGAACAAGCGGCGCGCGGACTCGAAGCGGTCGAAGCACTACGGGCTGCTCCTGGGCAAGCTCCGGGCCGAGGTCGACGCGCTCCGGTCCGAGCTCGCCGTGCGCGACCTCATCCGCGGGGCGCCGCCGCCGGCCTACGCCTACGGCCCGACGACGGACGCGGCCGAGGTCGACGCGGTCCGGCGGGCGGCGAAAACGTTCGTCGACGGCGGCGACATGCCGCCCGTCGTCACGCTCGGCCAGGTCCACGCGACCTACGACGCGTTGCGGGCGCTGGCCGTCGAGGCCGCCGAGCGGCGGCCCGCGGAGGAGCGGCCGCCCGCGGAGGAGCGACCGCAGCCGTCGCCCGCGCGACCGCAGCCGTCGCCCGCGCGCGTGCCGCGGCTCCGCGAAAACCCGGCGCACCAGCCCGAGAACCTGCGGCCGCCGAACCCCAACGCCGGCCGGTCGCCGCCGCCGACCAAAAAGGAGCCCATCCGGAGCTCGCGCGACCGGCGGCCCGTCGCGCCGCCGCCGCCGCCGGCCGCGGCGTCGCCCGAGAAGCTCACGTCGAGCGCGCTCGCGCTCCACGCGACGCGCGACAGCGAGGCCCAGTTCGCCCTCTGGCGCGCCGAGGCCGACGACGACGACGCGCGGGAAATCGAGGCCGAGCTCGCGGCCTGCAAGGAAAAACAGAAGGAGGTCAAGCGGCGCGCCAAGCACGCGGCCGCGGACGTCAACGCCGCGAAGCGCAACATCGACGCCCTCGTCCAGCGCGTCTCCGCCGCCCGCGAGGCCACGACGGGCGGCGACGGCGACGACCTCGGCCACGACGAGCGGCTCCTTGTGCAGCGTCTGAAGGACGTGAAGCGCGAGTACCGCGCGGCCTTCGACGTCCTCAACCAGGCCAAGGCCGAGGCGACGCACGTCGACGCGCGCCGCAAGTACCTCTTTCGCATCCTCGTCGCCCGCTTCCAGGCCGACACCCAGGGCTCCGGCGCCGCCGTTGACCCGAGCCGCGCGGCGACGTCCGAGGCCGGCGCGCTCCAGGTCCACCCAGGCCACGCGAGCGCGGCGAGTACGTAAGCGTTGTTTAGGGCCGCTCCTAGGACGACGACTTGATGCCGTAGATGCTCGGCTTCGCGGGGATCGCGGATTTCACGCACGTGTTCATGTAGGCCAGCATGTCCTGCTCCGCGGCGAGCTCCGCCTCGCGCTCTATCTCCGCCTGCTTCTGCGCCTGGAGCAGCCGCTGCTGCTCGACCTGCCGCTGGCGCGCCGCTTCCACTTCCCGCGGCGACGGCGCGGCGACGGGCTCCGCGGCGGCGACGGGCGGCGGCGGCGGCGGCGGCGCGGCCGGCGCCTCCTCGGACGGCACGCGCAGGAAGCGGTCCAATTCCTACGACACGGAGGCTCTGAATGAGATGAGACTAGGCCGCGCCGACACGCACCGTCCACAGCCGCTCGATCTCGACATTTGCCTCGCTGAGCTTTTGCTCTTTTTCGGCGATGGCGTGGTCCTTGAAGGCGAGCTTGTCGCAGAGGAAGGACTCCATCGCCGTCAGGCTGCCGTCCGCGCGCTTTCGCGCCAGCTCGGCCTCCAATTCTGCGAGACTCATGGCGGGCAGCAGACTCCTAATAGGTCAATCGGACAAAGTTGATGAGACCGTGCAGTCGGAAGAATTACCTCAGTGCTTGCGATGGTTCGTGGTCGGAAGCACCTGCAGTGGTTCGTGGTCGTCGCAGCGCCGCTGGCGCTAGCGTTGGTGCAGCCGTCGCGCATCGAGTGCGCGAGTCGCTGTCGGGCGCAGATTACGAGTCCAGGGCGTCGAGCGCTCGCCGCGGCGTCGGTCCGACGGCGTCGACCATCAGCCCTCGCCGCGGCGTCGGTGTCGAGCGCGGAGCCGCCCCGGTCGCGCAAGAAGTCCGTCTACGGCGACGTCGCGGGCATGGCGCTGCCGCTGCTGCTCGTGTCCCTGTCGTCGCCCATCCTGTCCATGATCGACGTCGCGGCCGTCGGCCGCACCGCGGGCGTCGTCGAGCTCGCCTCTTTGGGCCCGGCGACGAGCGTCTGCGACCTGAGCATGTACGTCTTCAACACGCTGTCGGTGGTGACGACGCGCCTCGCGGCGGCGGCCCTAGTCGACGGCGACGAGGCGGCCGCGGCCGCGCGCGTCCGCGACGGCCTCTGCGTCGCCGCGGCCGTGGGCGGCCTCTGGGCCTGCGTGCTGCTGAGTCCGCTGGCCGAAGCCATGCTCGCCGTCTTCCTGCCGAAGGGCGGCGACCCGGCGGTGCTCGCCTGCGCGCTTCGCTACGCGCGCATCCGCGCGCCCGGCTTCGTCGCGGCGCTGGGCTGCGTCGTCCTGCAATCGTCCGCGCTCGTCCGCCGCGACGTCGCGCTGCCGCTCTTCGCCGTCTGGGTCGGCGCGGCGGCCAACGCGCTCGGCGACTACGCGCTCGTCGCGCGGCTCGGCTGGGGCGTCTCCGGCGCGGCCGCCGCCACGGTCGTCGCGCAGTTCGTCGCCGCGGCCGTGCTCCTCCGAGCGGAGCGCCGCGCGACGGCGGGGCGGCCGCTCGCGCCGCCGGCGCGCGCCGACGTCGCCGCGTTCCTCAAACTCTGCGCGGCGCCGGCCATCGCGCTCCTGGGCCGCCTGTCGATCGTGCTCACGGTGTCGGCGACGGCGTCCGCGTGCGGCACCGTCGCGCTCGCCGCGAACCAGGTCTTATCGGGCACGTTCCAGCTCTTCCGGCCCATGGGCGACGCGCTGGGCCAGACCATGCAGACCCTGCTGCCCGCCGTCGTCAAGAACAACGAGGACTCGCTGGACTCCATGAGCGGCATCGCCGACGGCGGCGAAACGCTCTCGCGGCGCGCGCTCGCGGTGCTCGGCGCCATGTGCGGCGGCGCGGTCGCGCTCGGCGCGATCGACGCGCTCCTGGGGGC